AGAATAGACGTGGTTATTATACTAAATCGTAGTATTTCAGAGACCARCACGGAGAGTATGTGGTATAAATAAAAATATCAACAAATATTAAATAATGATAATAATAATAATRRTGTGGTACGGCACGACCCGTCGCTAATTAGGCACGGGAAATACATCCATACTCGAATTGTTTCGGACAAKGTAATAGACATCTTGCAAGTATTTAACACTCAAGGCCTCAGTTAAAATTTTTTTATAAAATTCTTTTACAAGCATTTTAAGTTWAAAAAAATGTTCAGTTAAAATTTAAAAAAGGTGTTTCACCACAAACGACACTATAACGACTAACATGTTATTAGCTGCTATATGATAAAATATTATATATCATTATGAAAAAATAAGATAATAGTGATAAAACATAATATATTAAAATAGTAGGTAATAAACTAATAAATAATAATGATGTGGGATTCTCTACTATAGGTAGATATAACACATAAAATTGGTAGACCGCATACTATACTCATATTTATAGTTAGGTAGTACTCAAAAAACAGGAAGACCGCATATTGGGAGATAGTCAGTGTTATCTCACACATCATGGGACTCTAAAACTCAAGTTTTATTAACAATATACAAGTCACTTAAACTTTCTAAACTCGACTACGGATCTTTCTTTTGGACAACGGCTTCCAAATCAATATTAAAAAAACTAGATACAATCCACAACTAAGGTCTTCGTATGTCAATTGGCGTTTACCGTTCAAGTCCAATACCCAGTATCTATAATCTTGCAAATTCACACCCTCTTGACATAAGAAGACTCGAAATAACATTGAATCACGAATTAAAATTAGCAAATACCCTTCCCACTCTCGACTTCAAACCAATATTTCAAATACTACCATCACTACTCCATGAGAACAATCTTGATATGTCCAAAATACTTACCAGCACAACCTGCCTGACCCCTTAATGGAAAAATCTCATCGAAACCAGCACTGGACTTTCCATATTCAAAAAATATGACACACCCTCTTCTATTTACAAAAAAGAATATTTTCACACAATACAAAACACCACAAGTGAAAAAATGTACATGGGTGCTTCCAAAAGCCAAGGCAGTGTCGAGCGCTGCAGTAATTTTGGATAACGCGGAATTCATGTATAAACGTTCCTACACCTGCTCAGTATTTATTCACAGCTGAGTCAATTGCGTTCGAGATAATACCCGATTATCACTTACAAGACACTATTATCTTTACCAACTATCTCAGTTCGATCAACAATATAAAAAACACATATAATCCTTCAGACATTGGCCTATATATTCAAAATAAAATCCACACCTTACAATACCATAATAACTTCAACATCAAACTCTTTTGGATCTCTGGACGTTCTAACATAAAAGAAAACGAACTCGCTGATCTTGCAGCCAAAAATGTTATTACATCTTCAATATCATCGCCCACACAAACCATTTCCTCTAGTAACATACGAATACTCATAAAAAAGAAATGTCAACAAAGATTATTTTACACGAAATTAAACCATATAAAACATCAAACCTATAATATTGGGCATTTCCCTTTAAAATTCACAGAAAATTCGAAGTAAAAATAACCAAACTAAGAATTGGACACATGAAAAACTCCCACAGTTTCCTTATGTCCAAAGAAGAACCCCGAATATGCACAACCTGCAGTGTCTAAGTCACCATAAACCATAAACTCACGGAATGCCGTACCYACAACAGTACCCGAAGAAGCCACAACCTATCCGAACTACTATCAGAAACTCTATGCAATCACTCTCAATTCATCACAGCTGTCAATCTTATATCCAACATTTAATATAACTTATATATATATAATTTTTGTAATTTCTGTAATTTAGAATTTTCGCAATGTAAGCCCAAGGCCCATGTTGCTGAGGGTATTATTAATAATAATAAAAAAAAAAAAAAAAGCGGGTAAGTCGTGGATGTCGCTATGACAGTAGGTTACTGTAATGGATGGGATTAAATTTGAATGCAATGATAGGTATCATTGTATACGAAAAACGATTCTGAACGAAGATGATTTGTCAGTCTAGGATATATTATATTTAAATATTGTCATATATATTCTATTTTGAAACAAATATTTTATTTTTCAATTAGGACGCATTTTGCACAAGGCATGGTTAATCAATTTTTCCAAAAACATTGCATGTTGACTA